ACTCTGCAGCCGGTTCGACAAGTTTGTCACCGCAGTCATGGTTTCCGCACATGACTTCAATGTATACTGATTGGCTTCCACATCCGACTGCACTGCCATTCTTTGCTCCACAGACCGCATCGGAAAGTTCAACGGAGCAAACCCTGAGGCGCCTGGTTGAGATTCAGGGGCCACCACACCCGTTATCTCTCTTGTTGACTCGTTGAGGTCGGGAAAGAGAGTAAGCAGACCACGGGACGACGAAGCCATTTTCTGGGCAACAGAGTGTTACAGAGTCTCTCTCTAAAAAACAGCAGAATTTTTCGGAGGATTTCGCAGGTTTTTTGTCTTCTGCCTCGGCCTCAGGCTCCGTCTTGGTTAAATAGCCGAGGCAGCCACGCGCATCGCGCGCCTCTTGACGCCAGACAAACGGGCACGCCAGCCAAGGCACTCATGTGCCTCGCCATCATATCTGGCACGCCTTTTGATGCATCGGGCACGCCTTTTGAGGGCACGCCTTTTGACAGATTGGGCACACCTTTTGAGGGCACGACTTTTGAGGGCTCGATATCTACATCCATGTATATCTTTTGGGCAGCCTAGATACACACTCATACAGTGTCTTGTACACCGGTTTCTACATCGGTCAGCTTTATCAATCCCTTTTCAACCTCAAATAGGTTTCTATCTTCACACCTATTTGAGTTTGAGGGGGGGGTTATACACAGTATCATGTATAAGTCACACACACTCATCTCCTCACCTAACCTACCACTACCACCTCCACTTCACCCCCTACCACTTCACCTACTACCTTCTTCTCTTCTATATATATGATCATTGTAAACATAACAAATATATCAATCAATACAAATTAATCAATAATACATAAATCCTTACAGGGTTAATTGAGAACAACACGGGGGTCTTACCAGTCTTCACGTCATCGGCCGTCCCATCCTTCAGCTTCGGCTTCCCAAAGCCAAACGATCCGGTCCCTCTCCCTGCTTTCAACAGTCCTAGTGCTCCGTCCATTTTCGCCCGTCCACCATTAGACATTGCTCCTCACGAGTTCACTTTTGGTGCAGTCCAGACTCATCAGAATCCATCTGGAGTCTGTTTTGGGGAAAACCCGCCTAACCCAAATAACAACGATATTGCTATGGATGGTTCGTGATTTTAATGTGCTTCATTTTATTCCTTCTTCCTCCGCTTCTCCTCTGCCTCTCGACAATCCCAAGGATGTGCTTAACAGTATTCACCCTCTAAGGCCAGATTGGTATGAGGAATTATGTGCATTTATCTTGGATAAGGGCAGTAAAGCATATGAGGCAGAGGTTGCGGGTTTTAAGTCTCAGATCTTTACAAATTTGAGGGGAGAGGCTAAGACAGTGTTGGAGCTTAATCTCAAATATTATGCCAGTGATAATGGTGTTCATGTTTTTGACATAGATCCCAAAAGAAAGATGATCCATGATGCGACCCCACCACAGCTTGGCATTCTGGGTTCTTCATCATTTGATCTTGGAATTTGATTATCTTTAAGGATATCCTAATTATTTAGAGTTCATTTAACTGCCAAGGACAATTCCTTGAAATTTTTAGAATTGAGAAATGTCAGTTGTTGCAAGTCAGGTTCTACTGTGGTCGTAAATTGAAGTGCTTTGGATCAAAACGTGGAGGATGGAAAATGCGTCGTTTGGCTCCAAGAAAATTTAATTTCTGTTGCCAAAAATTTGAAAGCTTCTTGGATCGATGTAGGTATTTTCTACACTCTAATATGGTTTTTAGCTTAGTTATTTGCTATTGTATATAGATGATGAGATTTGGTTGTGGTTTGGACAAATCAAGGATTTGGGTGTGAAATGAAAAGAAGGGTTTTGATGAATATGAGGTAAATGAGTATGAGGCTTGAATATAAGATCATGTTGTGCCAAAATAGTTGATTTTGGTGTTTGGGTTGATATTTGGTGAAAGGGGATTTTGCCCTAATTTTGATTAAATTATTATTTTGCATAAATAATTGGGATTAACATTGAAAACGTGAAATTGGAAGGTTGTGATTATAAATGGTGATATTGGGTATGTATTATCTCACCTATGGAAGTTTTGAATAAACTATTTATTTTGATATTGAACATCTCTTTAGAAATAATTGCATTGGGCTATCGGTAGAGGATAACTATGATTGTTGTAAAAATTACATGAGGATTAGACGATTTTCTGCTAATCCATTGTTGGTGTCATTAAATATGACCATGTTATAGATACATTGTATATGTATGTTTATTGGGAGGAGAAAGGGAATGTACTCCATATGTGATTATGTTTATAAATACATTGCATATGTATATTTGTTTAGAAGGAGAAAGGGGATGGACTCCATTTAAAGCAAGTTGGTCAGAGTGTCCTGGGTGAAAGACCCGAGATTTTATATATAAATGGGTGCCGATTCCTTCGGACGAAATATTCGTAAAATGGCAGGTTTGAAGTGTTTATGTGAGTTTTACATAATTGGAAAATCATTGAGTTGTAGTTTCATTTTGATTGTTGGAAGATAACGAATTTAACTCATGAATTGAGTAGCATATATGAACTGGAAATGAAATTAAAGGAAAATGGAATAAGGTTGGTCTTAGTGGCATATGGATATGCAGGTCTTGTAGATGTTTCAGGATCAGTATTATTTATGTACATGGTATTTATACCTTTGCTAAACCTCATAAATTGTGTTAGATTATTTCTACTGGGCTGTTGGCTCACCCTATATGGGAATATCATTTTCTGGTATAGGTGAGATGCTTCCTCCAAGGCAATAGCGTGGATGGAGTTTTGGGAAGTAAGAGCTTTTTAATTATGCCTTACGTGTGTATGTTTGTTATTTGTAAAGCCAAGGGTTTAAGATGTAATGAGCGAGACTCAATTTGTGTAACCAAGCAATACTTGGAAACATGTAAGCCTACATGACATTTAATTGGCTGTTAAACAGTGAACTTTGATATATGAAAGTATATTGTTTCTTATATTTATTCCGCATATGAATTATCTTATTTTATTATTTTGAGGGCGTGACACAGACACCGAAGATATGGTGTGAAGGATGTCACAGGTCTAAGCGACTATATGTAGATTTTTGGTGTAAGTCTCGCCTTTGTTGGTGAGTTGTGTTATTGGGCCGTTGTCATGTATTCAGCGATTGCAAGATTGCTTCTTCTCTGGCAATTCTAGGTATCCGTGTCACCAAGTCTGCATGGGTGCCAGTGTCGTCGTTGCTGCAGAGTGGTAATGCCGGGGGATAGTTTTTTGTCCGTCATTACATGTATGGATTTCTGAAAAAAAAAACCCAAAACAACTTGCAAAACCGGATAACTTTAATGTATAAAAATATGAATAAGTTAAGTCCCTACTACTCCAAAAATAAAAGGGTAGATCTAGAAGGCAACACGCCTGATCAGATCTGAGACTTCTATTGCGAAGAGACGCCGAACCTTCCAAGCTCTTGCATTTACAACACCTTGTAAAATCTCACCTATAAAGATCACCACTTTAAGCTCAAGATTTGAACTTTCAGAAGATAGAGACGAAGCAGAGAGCTGCCTTGGTTTCTGCAGTCAGTCAATTCTTTCCCATCACGTGTTGCAGCTTTGCATAATAAAAATACCGAGTCCAGGTTTCCTTGGCCGCCCTTCTGCGTAGCTGTCTTGCGCAGCTCCCCAAGATGACAGTCGTTTTGGGGAGAATTTCAATTTTAAATAAAAAAAGAAAGAAAAAAACAGAACAAGCACAGAATTCGATCAGAGAGAAGAGGGAAAGAAAGATAAGCGGAGAAAAGGAGGGGGAAAGGAGAGAATTGAGAAGCACAAAATTTCTTGGGTTATATCAGTTTTAGTGAGCTCATTTTTATTTGAGTTGGGTTTTGTTATTGCTCATTATATTTAGTCCTCATTGGTTTATTTTTTTTATTCTTGTATGTTTTTTGCTTCTTTCTCTCTTTCTCCCATTTTTTCTTTGTTTCGGGTTAGCTTTTTTTTTATTATAGTTGTCTTTGATCTTTCTCTCTTGGTTATCACGATGGTTTTTTGTATTCTTTGTGTTTTTGTTCTTTCCTCTCTACGTCCGTTTTTTTTTTTTTTTTCAGTTGTCTGCAATTTTTTTTTAGTTATTTTGTTGTTTGTATCTCTCTCTCTGATTCTCACAAATGGTCGTGTTATTTTTGTATTCGTTGTGTTTTTTTCTATCTTTTCTCTCTCTATTTCCGTTTTTTTTTCTTTCTTCAGTCTGCAATTTTTTCTTTTTTTAGTATATGTTCGTTGATGTAACCCCTCAAAATAAACCCATTTTATATGTACAACTCAACCATGCATTACTAAAGAACAATTTATTTTTCATCGTATAATAAATAAAAAATTACATGTAACACAATAATCTATGGCTTACATCTTCCAAGCACACTGGGATACAAAATCATGAGTCTCTAACTCAAAAACAAATAAGCCTGGCCTTGATTTATTTATCAATCAAACAAACATATTTAATAGTCTTCAAAATCCAAATCTCAAGCTAAGTCCTGGGGACGGTTAGCTTAATCACCTGGATTCCTGTAATGATGTTCCACATAAAGGGTAGCCAGTCAGTAGAAATTACAAACCAATATAAGCATTGATAAAGCAATAGCTTCAATAATGGTTACCAAGATATCATTACAATATTAGACAGTTATGACCCTAAGCAGTAGACATGTTTACTATCCCCTTTATCTATGGCTCGAACACAATATTTCAACAGTAGCCATAATAAAATAACATTCATCTGTCACACAATAGTTCAGCTCAATCAAAACCTTCATTACTTCCAGTTGATACATTTTAATGCTGTACCACGTAAGCCTTCAAAATAAGCCACTAAAGTGATGCTAATGGAGTGCCATCCCTATCTCTTCCCAAAAAATCCGTGTTAGAGTCCTCCCCCGTATTTCCCCTAAACTGGAGTAATCCCCATCCTCCTCCCACACAAACAATGTATGCAACACTATAAATATACAACACACAATCGATACCATAATGCCCTGTATTAACTTCAGCAGTCAATATTGATGACTTAATCAATGATAGTTTCAATCCCTTCACTGCATGTCCAACAAGTAACGACTATCTTCCACGATGCCCAAAGACAGTTATTCTAACTTGGAAAATAAATAGACACAATTCTAATTCATGTGATTTTAAATTAACAACTCGCCATCTATGTCATGAATCCCCAATTTCAGATTTACCCAACTTTTCCATTCAAGAATTAATTTACAACTTAATTTATTATTACAACTGGGTTTTTTCCCAAATTACCAAAGTTCCCCAACATATCAAATACCAAAACTTAGAACAAAACTTATATAATGGATGGATCCTAGGCCTCAAAGAAATAGTTCCAAAAGAGCAAGATGAGATAAGACCCAAATCTCACGTGCTTCCAAACTACCACCATAGTTCAGACTTAATGGAACCCCGACGCCACTCTATATTGTTTAATAAAGGACTAAGTAGAAACTCACTCAAGTAGATCAATTCCTAAGAGAGAAGGTGTGAAGGGGAAGACTCGTACTGGGTTTCGGGAATTCTGGAAAGTGTGATGAAAAAACTGAGATCGAAGCACGCTGCTAGCCTATTTAACCTGACAGCTCGCTCGAGCAAACTGGTCGCTCGAGCACCACACAGAAAAGCACGCTCGAGCCAGGAAGGCCTGCCTCGACGCCAACAACCCAAAAGCTGCTCTAGCGAAAGAAATCTTCGCTCGAGCGAAGAACTCAAAACCCTTAGGTCTGTAACAGAACCGCTCGAGCGACAGGAACTCCGCTCGCACGCGAAGAACGAACCTAATCGCTGAGCGAAGAAAGCGTCGACTCGATCGCCAAAAAAAACTCAGCTCTCAGTGTCTTACTACAAAACGCAATCCTCGCTCCGATGCAGATACCCCTGGCTCAGAGCGACGACCAAAAGCAGATAAGAGGCCGAGAGCGAAGAACTTCTCGCCTCGAGCGAAGGGTCAAAATTCTGTGCAGCAACCCTTTGCTCCCAGCTCTACAACCTTGCTACAAAGCCATTGTCCCCAACTCAGAGAACTAGAATAATAGGACGGTAACAATCATACAAATTCGCAGGGACTACGAATCTAAGTTGGTACATATCAAATAGGGAAAGCGGGCTCGCTATATGATGATTTTTGATATATGAAAATTATTCTTTGTGCTTCTTTGGGAAAATGGCCATTTTGGATGATGGAGCCATTGGCATTTTGATTGTTCTGGAATTGAATTATAATGGCTAAAAAAATGGAGATTGTCATCAGAAGAAATAGAATCCAAATGCCCATTATTATTCATACTTTAAAAGCCTTAAACAAGAAGCAACAGGAAGTAAAGTTACTAAAACAAACACCTTGTATTCAATATGGATCATTGCGGTTTTGATGTTTTTTTTAGATTATATTCTTCTTCCTCTCTGTTTGGTTGCAAATCCCTTTCCCTTCTTTGGTTTTGCTT